TCCTTGAACTGGTGTAGGCAGCGGGAAGGGCATCAGGTGTCTGACCGGTGGGGTCAGACCAAAGCTGGGTTCAACACCTCAGCACTTGGGCTCTTGCTAGGAAAGCATTCACAGCAGACCCAAACAAGTAAGGGAACATTTCCTTGGTAAATTACAGAGGTAGAAGAAGTAATTCCTAGAAGGAATGGGTTTAGGAAACAAGTTATTGAAGGGAACAGAAGAGCCCTTGGAGCTTGGGAGTGGGGAAGCTAATGGTAAGGTGCCTGGGGCAGAGAGGGGGAAGGGAAAGGGGCAGGCAGGGGCATGCTCTGGAGGGAGACGCACTAAGTCCTCAGTCCTAAGGGTTTTAAGGGCAGAGATTTTAGGGGAGGTCCCAGGGGGAGATCTTAATAGAATATTCAGCAATCTTCCAGGTGTGTCCTTTCAGGGTTGTGGTCTCCACTGATTGATTGGCCGGCACCAGGGCAGGGGGTCATTATTCAGTGCAGCTGGTCCTGAGGTCAGCCAAGACTGGTTTTGTTTCTTATCTGGGCCTGGAGCAGAACTATAACTGAGGCCTAAATGTTATCTCTAGGGAGGGAAGGTCAGGGGATCCAAACCACAGGACCAGCTTGATATGCTAGGAGAGGGAACGTCACCCTGGGGGCAAGGTCCCACCCTACAATGATTGTGCATTGCTAGGAACCCGAGGCTTTCTATGCTGGTGACCTTCTGTACCTGGCCCATTGTCCTTGCTCTGTTCAAGTCTGTCTAACTGCCTACAACAGAACCACATATTTGCTAGTGCACCAGCAAGGCTGCCTGTTTCCATTTATAAAAAAATAACTTACCTGTTGATCTGCACTGGGTCAGGCATGTAGGAAGCCCTTTTCGCCTATATTTTCTTTCTGGGCATTTCAGAACACGAGACAGCCCTAATCAAATCCTCTTCAGCTCTTTCATGCACCTTCCCCAATTACACAGGACCCCACACGTTCAGCCCTGACTATTGCTCTGACCCTTTGATGCAAAATGCTAGTCCATCTAGACTTTATTTCAAACAGGGTGGTCACATATTATGAAGGGATCAAGGGAATCCTGAAATATGGGAAGATGACAGGGTTTGGTTACCCTTAAATAAATGTAGACTCTTCTTAGAAACTGAATAGCAGGGAAGAAATGATTGCAGTTATAAGGCGAGAAGTGCAGAGACTGTTCTTCCTTAAATTTTTTAGGAGAGATTTGCCTCCAGCCTCCTTTTAAAAAGTATTTTCCACATGTGGCAGGCAGTAGACAGATCTTAGCAGAGCAAGGACAATGGATTAAGTACAGAAGGTCACGAGGGCAGGTAGAAAGCCCCAGTTTTCTAGCAAAGGACAATTGTAGGGTGGGACCTTGCCCCCAGGGTGACCTTTCCTCTCCTAGCATATCAAGGGTCATGCAGTTTGGATGCCCTGACCTTTCCTCCCTAGAGATAACATCTAGCCCTCAGTTGTATTTCTTTTGTTTTGTGTTTTTCTTTATTGATTAAGGTATTACATATGTGTCCTTATCCCTCCATAGCCCCTCCCAACCCCACACTCAGTTATATTTCAACTCCAGGCCCAGAAAAGAACAAAACCAGACCAGAGACCCCATGACTGACCTAAGGACCAGCTACATTGGATAATGACCCCTGCCCTAGCCCTGACCAATCAAGCAGTGGAGACCACAATCCTGAAAGGACACACCAGGAAAGCTGCTGAATATTCTGTTGAGATCTTCCCTTGGGAACTCCCCTAAAATCTCCATCCTTTCCCCTCCCTACCCCTGGCATCCTATATAATAAAAGCACAGCGACCCAACGGCAGAACGACAGGCCGACCAGGTGCTATGACGTGCACTGACCACCAGGGGCAAATGCTCAACACAGGAGCTTGAGCGCCACTCGGCTGACTGGGATGAGCAGATGCTCCCACTGTGAATCCCAGGCTGATGGCCAGGAACCCGGGCTGTGATCATTGCCTCCTCACCCCAGGCTCTTCCTCCTCGCTCCCTGCCACCTCCTCCGGATGCCCGCAGGCCACGCAGCACCACCTCCGGCTCCCTGGAGGCTGGGAGGAGGTTCATGGCTGCTGTGGGACTGAGGCCTACTCCACCGCCTCTCAGTGCTATTGTCCCTGGGCCTGGCCATGACCGGGTCCCCTGGAGAGATGAGTGCTCTGGCTCCACAGAAGATGCCAGGCTAGGGAGCAGCCACTCAGAGGGCAGGTCCACAGCTGCTTGGCTGGTATGAGTGGAGCTCCCACAGCAGGCTGATCCCTGCAGGCCATGCCCCCCAACAGTGCATGAATCCCGTGCACCGGGCCTCTAGTATTACAATAGGCTTCTTCACTCCCAAGCTCCAAGGTCCCTTCCTTTGCCTCTATAACTTGTTTCCTAAACCCATTTCTTCTAGGAATTACTTCTACCTCTGTGAATATATAACTAAATGTTCTCTTGTAGTTTGGGTCTTGGCTCTGAATTCTTTCTTAGCCAGAACTCAAGTACTGAGGTTGCTGAACCCAGGTCCCATCTGACCCCACTGATCTAACACCTGGTGCCATTCCCGCTGCTTACAGCACACAGTTGCCAAGATTCTTAAGTCCATTGCTAATCTATTCAGTCCCAGTGTTCCATGCCCCTTGCTGTCATTTCACCAGAAGCACAGGAGACTCCTGACTGAGTCCTGTGAAGCCATGTGAGGGCTTCAGGAAAGGGAGGAGCAGCAAAGCTGCTTGGAAAAAACATGGAAATTTACCACTGATCTAATCTTCTACTTCTCACTTTCACTATACTCTTTACTTCTAAGATGGTCTTTTCACAAGTCCTTCTAAACCTTTCAGGGAACTGAAAAATCCTTGGGGTGGGGGTGAAGAGGAAGGAAAGGAAGAAAAGGAGGTAGGAAAAAGAGAGAGAGAGAAAAGAAAGGAAAAAAGAGTATGACAGACACCTTATACTCGCTACCCTGACTTGTTTACTGTTGACATTTGGTCCAGAAGCAACTGTGGGAAGTATGATGCAACCTCAGATGTTAGGACATCAGGACTGTGGCCAAAGAATTTTCACAGTGTACGTGGAGGCTGGCCAGACTTCAGCTTTGGCCAGACACTTAGGTTATTTCACGCTGAATTCTCCCTTTCCAGTCCTTAGGACTCTGACTGTTTTACAGCTTGACTGCCATGTTTATCACACTCTTTTCCAGTTCAACTTTCAGGAGGCAGGCAAAGTAATTGGGCAAAGACCAATTGGATAATTTTTGGTCACAAAATTGAAATAATATATAATTATTTTGAATTCTCCAATTATCAGTGATAGGGGCAGAAATAGAATATTGGGGACCAGCTATAATTGTTAGAAATATTAATCCTGCTTTTTTTTTTAAAAAAAATCTTTATTGTTGAAAGTATTATATATATCCCCCTTTTCCCCCTATTAACCCCCTCCAGCCCAACACTGCCCTCTGCCCCAGGCCTTCACCACCCTATTGTCTGTGTCCATGGGTTATGCATATATGCATACAAGGTTTTTGGTTGATTCCCTCCCACCAACCCACCTCCCCTGCCTTCCCTCTGAGATTCCGCACTCTGTTAATCATGCTCTGTTAACCGTGATTGTTTTGTTCTGATTAAAGAAGGCACATTGTGCCTGACCAAGGTGGCTCAGTGGTTTAGCGCCAACTATGAACCAGGAAGTCCCGGTTCAATTCCCCGTCAGGGCACATGTTGACTCGATCCCCAGTGGGGGGTGTGCAGGAGGCAGCCAATCAATGATTCTCTCTCATCATGGATGTATCTCTCTCCCTCTCCCTTCCTCTCTGAAATCAGTAAATATATATATTTTTTTAAAAAAAGAAGGCACATTGTAACCTGGCGGGGAGTTGTACGTGGGACCTGGAAGCTCACCTGGAAATGCGGCCCATCCTCTCCATCCAGGAGCTGCCTATTATCATGGAAAGATGAACAACCTTGTTGCAGAAACCAGAGATGCCAGTTTTTGAAGACCCCCTGCCAGCCCTTTGAAGACCCCAGCCTTTGCATGCTCAGGCCTTTGCAAATCTCCAGCCCGGTTTACCTGTAAGCTGCCCATTTGGCATACCCTTTTGCCTACTTCCCCATGTAATCTTTGCCCTTCTACCCAATATAAGCAGTTGGCTTATGGTGGGGTGGGGAGAGCAGGTTTTTGTGGATGACCTGCTGCTCTCCCATACTGCTGGCAGTATTGGAATAAAAGCTCATATACGACTCAACCCTGTCTCTGCTTACTTGGCTTAAGTAGTGGCAGGCAGCCTGGAACCTTTGACTGTTTGGTTACAATAGAACAAATACCCTACTTGATTAAATGATAATTAGTGGCTGCATTTTAAAAAGTAGTTTTAAATTTAAAAAATTTTTTTTATTGATTTTAGAGAAAAGAAGAGAAAGAAAGAGAGAGAGACAGAAAAATCAATGATGAGAGAGAATCATTGATCAGTTGCCTCCTGCACACTGTCCCTACTGGGGATCAAGCCCACAACCTGGGCTAGTGCCCTGACGAATCAAACCGTGACCTCCTGTTTCATATGTCATTGTTCAACCACTGAGCACACTGCGCGGGCAAGCCAAAGGTCATATATGCATATATGCATTACCTATGGACACAAACAATAGGGTGGTAAAGGCCTGAGGTGGGTGGAGGGGGGCAAAGGGGAAAAAAGGGTGCATCTGTAATTCTCTCAATAATAAAGATTAAGAAGACACATACAAAAACCTTCAAATACATCCAAAGTATAACACTATAATGAAATCCATGTATCTAAACCCTATCGTTATTTATATTTTTAGTTATTTACATTTTGCCGTATTTTCTCCATGTATTTGTTTACTAACAATTTTTAAGTAAATTAGAAATGTTTTACTTGCCTCTAATTACTTTAGTATTCAGCTAAAAAATTAGAATAATTTCCCCACTTTACTATATCACCTTAGCTGTACATTAAAAAATGGTGTTTTGTTTTTTCTTCACATTACATGGTTGATATGCTGAAGTTGTTAAAGGTTTGATGGAGGCACATCTCACACAAGAGCGAGAACACCTAATCATTACGCTTATGAACTATGAAAGGATCTGTACATAACAAAATTAACACTAGTTCTTTAGCATCAACTTACACCTCATAGTCAAATTCCCCCAACTGTCTCCAAATTGCCAAAATTGGAGCAAATCAAGATGTAATCAAAGTCCACACCTTGCATGGATTGCTATATCTCTTAAATTCTTTTAATTTGCTTTTAAGCTAGACTCTTCATTTTTTCTTTCATGAAATTTACTAGTGGAAGAGACAGGTGTCCACTCTATTTTTTTTTTTTCAGAGAGGAAGGGAGACAGAAACAGCAACGATAAGAGAGAATCATTGATTGGCAACCCGGGCATGTGCCCCATCAGGGAATCGAACCGTGCCCTCCTGGTTCATAGGTCCACGCTCAACCACTGAGCCAAGCCGCCAGGCTCCACTCTATTTTTTTTTGAAGATGGTATAGCAAAGGTGGAAACTTATTGAAGAACAAGTACAGACTCCCACGTGGGGAAGGGGGAGGAATCTCACAGCTCAGACTCCCACGTGGGGAGGGGGAAAGAGTCCCACCTCCACTCTATTTTTAACCATTGATTATACTGTCTTATAAAATAATTTGATATAGATGAAATATTAAAATGCTTTCTTCACATATTCACTTTCAATAAGCCTTAAAGTAAAATACAGAATAGCAAATGTTGACTCTGTATCCACAAATCCTATACCATATATTTTAGTTGGTACTTTTTTTGTTGCAAATAGCAGAAACCAACCTTGACTTGGTTAAATCAAATGGGGAATTTAATAGAAATCTATTAGTTATGAGCTGTATTTTCTTACATGTAATAGAATATACAAAATAAAAATGGCTTCAGCAAGACAGAAATCTGTATATGAATTCTAGAGGAGGGCAATCCAGGCCTGGCATGGCAGATTTTTTTTTTTTAACTTTTACTTAGTGATGAGAGAGAGAGAGAGAGAGAGAGAGAGAGAGAGAGAGAGAGAGAGAGAACAAATACAGCAACATAGATCTGTTGTTCCATTTATTTATGCATTCATTGGCTGCTTCTTGTAAGTGCCTTGCTCAGGGATCAAACTCACAATCTTGGCTAATCAGGATGATGCTCTAACCAACTGAGCTACCTAGCCAGGTCTCTGGCTTGGCAGATTCTTAGTGGTAGCCCAAGCTCTCTCTCCACTGCACATGCAGTCACATGGCTTCCATCTCTAGGTCACTCCTCCAGTTACTCTTCTATTGCTTCTATCATCAGTGTGCTTGGGAGGAGGTATGTATACTTAGCCACCATTCTCATGAACAACTTATACCTCTTCCCTTTTCTTAAGGACCTCAGTGCACAGATTTGAATTAATTATAATTCTTGGTTCATGATCAACTGTCCTCAGTGGTCCACGCATGACACTTTTTATTTATTTGTAACTAATTTATCTACAATATAACGCACAACCATGAACCCACAACTACTCCAAAATGAAGCTAATATTGAACATTTTGGCACATGTTTTTGGAGTACATATACATGCATTTCTGCTGAACATGTATCTAGAACTAGAATTGCTGGGATATGTGTTATGCATGTGTTCAGCTTCAGGTGATACTTCCAGTTTTCCAAAATGCTTATGTCACTTTACCACTGGCCATGAATAAAAATTCCACTTGCTCTAAATTGTTGACGATAATTTGTATTTTTTATCTTTTCATTTTATCCATTACATACTTTGTCTTATTCTTTAACTCCTTAAATGTTGGCTTGTGCTACCATTACTTTATACTGGTAATGGATATGGTCCTGAAGATATCACTACAAACTTCTTGACCTCCAAGTCCAATCATTTTTCTTCATCTTGCCCTTCATTTTACAGTAACATTTGACACCACTGACCACTTTCTTCATGAAACTCTATCCCTTTGACTTCCATGACATTACATTATTCTAGAAGGCACACCTTTATTCGCAGTTCCAAAAATCTAGTATATTCTACAAACTGAGTTTTTATATTACTAATTTGGTGGCAAAATCTAACCTAATGGTCATGAGACTATTCATTATCCCAATTAATGATATAGTCACATGGGTCACTGGAGATTTATTAATGTGTATATTTATTATGAGAGACTGCCCAGCCCCCGTTCTATAATATAGACTATAAGTACCATATTAGCTTTCTAAAATCTCTCTTCCTTTCCCTTCCTCTCTGAAATCAATAAGAATATATTAAAACAAGCAAACAAACAAACAGACAAAAGCACAGGGAGAAGTCAGCAACATCCCCATATGTCAAGGTTGCAGTTCAATCCCCAGTCAGGGCACATATAAGAATCAACCAGCCCTAGCCAGTTTGGCTCAGTGGATAGAGCATTGGCCTGTGGACTGAAGGGTCCTGGGTTTGATTCTGGTTAAGGGCAAATGCCTGGGTTGTGGGCTCAATCCCCAGTTGGGGGCGTGCAGGAGGCAGCTGATTAATGATTCTCTCTCATCATGGATGTTTCTATCTCTCCCTTTCCCTTCCTCTCTGAAATCAATAAAAATATATTAAAAAAAAAAATCAACCAATGCCCTAGCAGGGTGGCTAGGTGGTTAGAGTGCTGGCCCCCAACCTGAAGGGTTTCAGGTTCAATTCTAGTCAAGGGCTCAAACCTCAGTTGTAGGTTCCCCACCCCGGTTAGGGTACCTGTGAGAGGCAACCAATTGATGTGGCTCTCTCACATGGATGTTTCTTTCTCTCCTCTCTTCCCCTCCCTCCTCCCTTCCACTCTCTAAAATCAGTGGAAGAAATATCCTCCAGAGAGGATTAAAAAAAAAAAAAAGAATCAACCAGTGAATGCATAAATTGGTGGAACAACAAATTCATATTTCTCTCTCTCTAAAATCAATCAATAAAAAAATAAAATAAAATGAAAAGAAGGGATTATTTGGGGGCCTGGACATATTTTTCTTTGAAGAGGAAGGAAGTGTTTTTATCATGCAGATTGCCTCTGTCTTTGGGAGAGGGAGGCTGGAAAGGGCTCATGTGGCAGATGACCATCCTGGTGCTTGACCAGAAAATTCCAGACTGGTTCATTAAGATCATATTTCTGGGAAAGGTTGAAATTGCAATGATTAGATCAGATATTAAGTCTAGGTTTGGTATCTTGGACTAAAAGCATGAGTGACACCATTTTGGGCCTGTGGTTTTCTCATAACAGACTGTAATGAAAGAGCAATAGCATGCTGTGAGGAAACAGAGGGGAGATCATGCATTAATCCACTAGGCCTGCAATAACCACTGAGCTACCAGGCTAGTCGTCTTTTCAGTTTTTCATAGGTCTCTTGCCCTACCTTTTTTCCTATAAAAACCCTCTATGTTGTACAACACCTGGGAGCTCTCTTTTAGTTACTTGATGGGATGCAGCCTGATTCATGAATTGATTTATAAAGCCAATTAGCTCTTCAAATGATCTCATTTGAATTTTGTTTTTTAACAGCCTTCATCACATGATACTGTAATCATCTGTTTTGCTCTCTGCCTCCTTTTCTGACTAGAAGCATTCAAGAGCAGAAATTGTCTTCCTTGTTGCCCAGTGTAGCACCAGCTCCTCACACAGTAGCTAGCACATTGTAGGCACTCAATAAATATTTTTGGATGAATAGTAAATTAATAAAATAACATGTGAGTTTTTGCAGGGTTACCAAAATATGTACAATAAATTACTATAAGTTTCATCTTTTCATTTTCAGTGTTTCTAATTTCTTCTTCCTATCACATCCTTTTTCCCCCACCCAATAAATGTAATTGCAGCTTGAGACTAAGATTTAAATTTACACATCTATGCGTGTCTGAAGATCTTGTAGCCGTTTCTGTGTATGCGGGGCTGTGTAGTCTCCTGAGAATCCAGACATAACACATTTGACTTAGGAGCAACAAGCCTTGGTGGTCCATGGGGAGAAGTGGCCCAAAGTGTGTGTGGCGTGTGTTGCCAGGATAGCCTATTGACCCGGCTCCATCCTAATGCAGGCCAACTCCAAAAGGGAATGTGTTAGTTTTCTAGGGCTGCCTTAACAAAGAACCACAGACTGGGTGACTTATACAATAGAAATTTATTCTCTCTGAATTCTAGAAGCTAAAAGTCCAGGATCAAGGTGTTAGCAGGTTTTTTCCGGAGGCCTGTTTCCTTTGTTTTGTTTGAAGCATCACCCAGAGTTGTTCCCGATTTAGATAAATCATGTCACCAAAGACAACATCACTTGTAAAATTTGAGTCACTTGTAACACTCCTATAATCAGTGACATTGTGGCTATTGTATTCATGATGACTCAATGTATAGAAGCAAACATCTGATGGCCTCATTATGTTTTCAAGTATAGTCATGCTCAGTCATTTTATATAGAAATGCATATTTTATTATAAATTACATCCTTTTATTTCTCCTCTTACAGTTAGGAATATATATATAATGTGTAAGGTAGACTGTGTCATCTATGAATTTTATTTTAAAACCATAAATGCTGTTATATTTGTTATGAATAGAGGTTGTTGGGTTTGATAGGATTGAAAAATATTGAGTTAATCCGAAGTAGCTTTGAAAGACAAATACCATATGATTTCAATTATATGTGAAATCTAAAGAACAATATAAAGGAATAAACAAAACAGAAACTAACTCATAGATACAGAGAACGGACTGATTGTTGACAGATATAAACTGGGCTGGTGGGCTGGATGATAAAGGTGAAGGGTGTAAGAAGTATAATTGGCAGTCACAAAATAGTCATGAGGTGTAAAGTGCAGCATAGGGAATATAGTCAATAATATTGTAATAAGTACATATGGTACCAGGTGAGTGCTAGACTTACTGGGTGGCGGTGGGGGGGGGGGGAGGGGGGAGGGGAAATCACTTCTTAAATTATGTAAAAGTCTAACTAACCACTATGTTGCACACCTGAAACTAATATAAAATAATATTGAATGTCAACTATAATTGAAAAATAAAAATAAATAAATTAAATTAAATTAAAACAAAGTTGCTCCCTACGTTCTCCCTATCCTGTCACCT